GTTAAAATTGTTGCATGTTCATCGCATCCCATCTTCGCATCCGTAGCTCCGGTTCGTGCGTGTAATATGTCAAATTGTTCGCCTCGAAGAGTACATCATTTCATTCCATTGAATCATTTACAATTGAGCTCATCTTGATGCCCGAAATGCTGTTGGAAGAGGGCTTCATATTGTTAGTTTTAGATTCTTATCAGAATGAGCTCTTTTGTCATTTTTGCCATGATTGATGTGTGCATCCTATGAACTTGGTCCCTAAATGTATTTTGAACTAGGCTATGTCTTCTTTACAGAGGTGCTTACCATGTATTTTTGTGATCAATGTGGTGACTAGCACAAGCATGCAAACTAGGCTTCGTGTTAACGCTGGTTTTAGTCCCTGTTCTGCTGTAATTTTGATGCCATGTAAACATGTTGCTACAAAGAGATCCATGCATAATTTGAGATACTTCAGTAAGGGTGTTTTCAAAACATAGTTTTGCTCTATCCATCCATGGTCCTGGTTGCAATTATGGAGTAGCCTAGCATGTCATTTTCGTGCTCTACTTTTTCTTAAAAATGTTTCCTGGTAGATTGTTTACATGTTATTCAATTTGGCCGAGGTTGTTGTAGTTGGTCCGGATATGCTATGATGTTGTTTCTTGCCATGTATAGCTTCTATGTCATGTCTTCTTGATGGATGTATGCTTAGTTTATCATGAAATGCTCTGTAGTGAGTGCATCGAGCTCACGAAGGTGCCTTCGTAATTATTTCAATACCATGCTTTGTTTGCTGAAATCTGTTAACGAAACTTGCTATGTTTACGTGGGTGCCGTCATATTTTCTGATCCTTTTTGGCTTATGGTCAGTAAGGGACTTTTGATCTATGCTTTGAGTAGATTCATGTCATGCCTTAGTTTGCTATTATAGGTTCATGTAGCATGTTAAAAACTTGCTCTGAACATTGCTTCGTGATGCTGTTTATGCCAAGTCCAGCCTGATAATTTTTTTGCACTTTCACCATGCTTGTTTGAACCTGTTATGATGTGATTTAGCCGTAGCTCAGTGTTCCTATTTTGTAAAGAATCTCCTGTAGATCACTGCCATATGCTTTGTTTTTATGTTGGGGTGCTGTAGCATAGTTTCTTGTTGCATGCTAAGTAGCATCGCGCTGTTAATCGCAGCTTTGTGCCATTCTTGTTTTGCTTGTCATTTGCAAACCGTGCATCCGTTCCCGATGATCTTTATATCAATTTCAACCGAAATCATCTCATCTTTACAGCGGCATACTTGGTTTGCCAATTTGATGCCTTGTTCATCCTTTTTCCTCCCGAAGCACGCATATGCATTGCATATCACATCTCGCACATCATGACATGTATTGCATCATGTTGCTTGTGCATTGCACTGTGATTTATTGTGGTTCCTTGCTTGTGTTCTTGCTTTGGGTAGAGCCGGGAGATGAGTACGTGCACGAGGAAGCTGCTGAGTACGCTAACGAGGATCCAACCTTCGACAACTCTGAGAACCTTGCAGGCAAGATGACCATACCTTCGAAATCATTACTATCTTTGCTTGCTAGTACTTGCTCTTTCGCTATGTTAGCCCTACCTGTCATTGTTTACCATGCCTTCCTATTGCCATGTTAAACCTCTAACCATCATGTCCTAGCAACCGTTGTTTGGCTATGTCATCGCTTTTGCTCAGCCCCTCTTATAGCATTGTTAGTTGCAGGTGAAGATGAAGTTTGTTCCTGGTCGGAACATGGATATTTTGGGATATCACAATATGTCCTATTTAAATTTATGCACCTTATATACTTGGTAAAGGGTGGAAGGCTCGGCCTTATGCCTGGTGACTTGTTCCACTCTCGCCGCCCTAGTTTCCGTGATACCGGTGTTATGTTCCTTGATTTTGTGTTCCTTACACGGTTGGGTGATTTATGGGACCCCCTTAACAGTTCGCTTTGAATAAAACTCCTCCAGCAAGGCCCAACTTTGGTTTTACCATTTGCCACCTAAGCCCTTTTCCCTTGGGTTTTAGCAAGCCCAAGGGTCATCTTTATTTAACCCCCCCCCCCGGGCCAGTGCTCCTTCGAGTGTTGTTCCGAAATGATCTGCCTGCGGGGCCACCTCGGGGAAACTTGAGGGCTGGTTCTACTCGTAGCTAGTCTCATCCGGTGTTGCCCTGAGAATGAGATATGTGCAGCTCCTATTGGGATTTGTCGGCGCATCGGGCGGCTTTGCTGGTCTTGTTTTACCATTGTCGAAATGTTTTGCGAAACGGGATTCCGAGACTGATCGGGTCTTCCCGGGAGAAGGTCTATTCCTTCGTTTACCGTGAGAGCTTGTGATGGGCTAAGTTGGGACATCCCTGCAGGGTATATAATCTTTTGAAAGCCGTGCCCGCGGTTATGAGGCAGATGGGAATTTGTTAATGTCCGGTTGTAGATAGCTTGACACTTGACTTCATTAAAATGCATCAACCGCGTGTGTAGCCGTGATGGTCTCTTCTCGGCGGAGTCTGGGAAGTGAACATGGTTTGAGTTATGCTTGACGTAAGTAGTTTCAGGATCACTTCTTGATCGCTTCTAGCTTCTCGACCGACGCGTTGCTTCTCTTCTCGCTCTCACTTGCGTATGTTAGCCACCATATATGCTTAGTGCTTGCCGCAGCTCCACCATATTACACCTTTTCCTACCTATGAGCTTAAATAGTCTTGATCTCGCGGGTGTGAGATTGCTGAGTCCCCGTGGCTCACAGATTCTACCAAAACAGATGCAGGTGCCGAGGATACTGGCGCAGATGGCGCAACTGAGCTGAAGTGGGAATTTGATGAGGCCCTTGGTCGTTACTATGTATTGTTTCCAGATGATCAGTAGAGGAGCCCAATCGGGATGATCGGGGATCTAGCATTTGGGGTTGTCTTCTTTTCATTTGAACTTGACCGTAGCCGGTGTATGAGTGTACTTTGAATGATGTATGATCTTAATTTATGTATTGTGTGAAGTGGCGATTGTAAGCCAACTCTCTTTATCCCATTCTTGTTCATTACATTGGATTGTGTGAAGATGACCCTTCTTGCGACTAAACCACTATGCGGTTATGCCTCTAAGTCGTGCTCCGACACGTGGGAGATATAGCCGCATCGTGGGTGTTACACCCATACTACTACTCTATGGATGAAGTTTCTCAAATTGATAGAGAAAGCACTGTAAAGATCAATTAGTGAGTGACTCTGTCGATACAACTAAAAAACTACTTACTTGTCCCATGATATGGGGCAAATTTTAGGAATCCGCTTCTGTAATAGAGTCGATCCACTAAGGGATTAAGCAGCGATGTAGTATCAGATCCCAACGATAGTAAGTTCTTTTTTCTTTCTTATGGAAAAAAGGTTTTTCAAGGATTCTATAGAGAGTTCATATATGAAACCGGGATAGTTACCTTTCAGAAAATTTGAACGAAGGCTCTATATCTATCTATGCTTCATTCTTCTGAAGGTGGGAAAAAAGAACAAACTGATTATTGATAAAAATTAGGGTTTGAAACTTAGGTAATTAATTTCTTCTGCTTAACCCAAGAACAAATTGGATTGATTTTTAATAAATCGAATATAGTTAAGATACGGGAAATTTATATAGCAATTTATGAGCCGTATGAGGTAGGAAACTCTCAAGTACGGCTCCAAGGGTAGGAACTTCCTATTCTGGCCGAGGAGAACATGCCATTCTACAGGGTGATTCGGGAATTGCAGAAGCTTGGTTTGATCAAGCTGCCAAATATTGGAAACAAGCTATAGCGCTTACTTCAGGAAATTATATTGAAGCACATAAGTGGTTGAAGATTACGAAGCACTTTGAATTTCAATAAGACCGTGCTCCTTCTTTTTCTTAAAATGGGTGGTTTGGTTGTTGATCCATTAATCAAATAAATTAGGTCATAAGATCGAATCAAGAATTTCATTATATCCATTTCTTATACCTTCTCTTTTATATGATATTTCATAAGAATAAACCATAGGATAGGGTCTAGAATAGAAGTGATAAAGTGAATAAAAAGAGGTGGCAATCTAAATATTGCTAATATATTAGGACCATCTTATTAATAATTCTAATGGGTTATCTTGGAATTTAGAATCAAATAAAATAAATAAATTATTCTCAAGGAAAGTAGATGTAGATAGGAGCTTATGCCCTCAAAAAATACACTAGTTTCTTAAATAAAAAATAAAAAAGATGTTTTTCTTACGTGAAGAAATATTTGTTTTGCTAGATAAACAATGTCCGTTAGGCACCTAATCTTTAGGTCATAATAGACGTGAACACTTGCCTCGGATTGACTTTAATATATAATTTCTCAAGTGAATAACTAAAAAAATAGAAGGATGGTAGATAGTAAAGAAAAAAACTAATCACAATATCCATCTTTCAGTGATTCACTAAAAAGACAGTTGGCGGGTCTGTTTGTATGTCTTGTCCATAAATAGGAGGACTTAATGATTATTCGTTCGCCGGAACCAGAAGTAAAATTTCTTGTGGATAGGGATCCTGTAAAAACATCTTTTGAGGAATGGGCCAGACCCGGCCATTTCTCAAGAACGCTAGCTAAGGGCCTTGATACTACCACTTGGATCTGGAACCTACATACTGATGCTCATGATTTCGGTAATAATATTGGTGATTTGGAGGAGATTTCTCAAAAAGTCTTTAGTGCTCATTTCGGCAACTTCCCATTATTTTTCTTTGGTTGAGTGGCATGTACTTTCATGGCGCACATTTTTCCAATTATGAAGCATGGCTAAGTGATCCTACTCACATTGGACCCATTGCTCAGGTAGTTTGGCCTATAGTAGGGCAAGAAATATTGAATGGTGATGTAGGCGGGGGTTTCTGAGGAATCCAAATAACCTCTGGTTTTTTCAGCTTTGGCGAGCATCTAGAATAACTAGTGGATTACAACTCTATTGTACTGCAATTGGTGCATTGATTTTTACAGCGTTAATGCTTTTTGCTGGTTGGTTCCATTATCACAAAGCTGCTCCAAAATTAGCCTGGTTCCCAGGTAGAATCCATGTTGAATCGCCACTTAGAGGGATTATTAGGACTTGGGTCTCTTTCTTGGGTGAGGCACCAAATGAGGTATCTTTACCAATTAACCAATTTCTTGACGTTGGGTGGATCCTAAAGAGATACCACTTCCTCACGAATTTATCTTGAATCAGGACCTTTTGGCTCAACTTTATCCTAGTTTTGCCAAAGGAGCAACCCCTTTTTCACTTTAAATTGGTCCAAATACATAGAATTTTCGACTTTTCGTGGAGGACTAGGTCTAGTAACCGGTGGTCTCTAGCTAACCGATATTCGGCGCCATCATTTAGCTATTGCTGTTCTTTTCCTAATCGAAGGTCATATTTATAGGACCAATTGGGGTATTGGCCATGGACTTAAAGGTATTTTGGAGGGTCACAAGGGCTCATTTACAGGACAAGTCCATAAGGGTATTTATGAAATCTTAACAATGTCATGGCATGCTCAATTATCTCTTAACCTAGCTACGCTAGGCTCTACAAGCATTGTTGTAGCTCATCATATGTATTCTATGCCTGCCTATCCATACCTAGCTACTGACTATGGTACACAACTTTCCTTGTTCACACACCACATGCGGATTGGCGAATTTCTAATAGTCGGTTATGTTGCACATACAACAATTTTTATGGTAAGATACTATGATCCAACTACTCGATACAACGGTCTATTAGATCGCGTCCTTAGACATCGCAATGCAATCATATCCCACGTTAACTAGGTATGTATATTTCTAGGTTTTCACAGTTTTGGCTGGTAAAATTCATAATGATACCATGAGTGCTTTAGGCCGTCCATAAGATATGTCTTCGGATACTACCATACAATTACAACCTATCTTTGCTCAATGGTACAAAATATCCATGCTATTGCGCCTGGCGTAACAGCTCCTGGTGCAACAACAAGTACTAGTTTAGCGTGGGGAGGCGGCGAGTTAGTACCAGTAGATGGCAAAGTGGCCTTGTTACCTATTCCATTAGGAACCACGGATTTTCTAGTCTATCACATTCATGCATTTACCATACATGTGATTGTATTAATACTTTTGAAAGGTGTTTTATTTGCTCAGAGCTCCCGTTTGATACCCGATAAAGTAAATCTAGGTTTTTGCTTTCCTTGCGATGGGCCTAGCTGAGGGGGAACATGTCAAGTATCCGCCAGGGATCATGTATTCTTAGGTTTATTCTGGATGCACAATGCAATTTTGGTAGTCATTTTCCATTTCAGTTGGGAAATGCAGTCGGATGTTTGGGGTACTATAAGTGATCAAGGGGTGGTAACTCATATTACAGGGGGAAACTTTGCACAGAGTTCCATTAAGATTAATGGGTGGCTTCGAGATTTCTTGTGGGCACAGGCATCGCAAGTCATTTGGTCTTATGGTTCTTCATTATCTGCATATGGTCTTTTTTTTCTTAGGTGCTCATTTTGTCTGGGCCTTCAGTTTAATGTTTTTATTCAGTGGCCGTGGTTATTGGCAAGAACTCATTCAATCTATCATTTGGGCTCATAAAAAATTAAAAGTTGCTCCTGCTACTCAACCTAGAGCCTTGAGCATTATACAAGGACGCATTGTAGGAGTAACCCATTACCTTCTGAGTGGAATTGCCACGACATGGGCATTCTTCTTAGAGAGAATTATTGTAGTAGGATAGTGGATAGGAGGATTTGAAAGGCACTATGGAATTAAGATTTCCCAGGTTTAGCCAAGGCTTAGCTCAGGACCCCACTACTCGTCGTATTTGGTTTGGTATTGCTACCGCACATGATTTCAAAAGTCATGATGATATTACTGAAGAACGTCTTTATCAGAACATTTTTGCTTCTCACTTTGGGCAATTAGCAATAATCTTTCTATGGACATCCGGAAATCTGTTTCATGTAGCTTGGCAAGGAAATCTGGAATCATCGATACAGGATCCTTTACACGTAAGACCTATTGCTCATCTGATTTGGGATCCTCATTTTGGTCAACCCGCTTTGGAAGCCTTTACTCGAGGAGGTGCTGCTGGTCCAGTGAATATTGCTTATTCTGGAGTTTATCAGTGGTGGTATACAATAGGATTACGCACCAATGAGGATCTTTATACTAGAGCTCTTTTTCTATTATTTCTTTCTACCATGTCCTTAATAGCGGGTTGGTTACATCTACAACCCAAATGGAAACCAAGCCTTTCATGGTACAAAAACGCGGAATCTCGTCCCATCATCATTTGTCAGGACTTTTCGGGGTAAGTTCTCTGGCTTGAACAGGACATTTAGTTCATGTTTCTATTCCTGCATCCAGGGGAGTACGTTCAACGGAATGATTTCTTAGATGGATTACCCTATCCCCAGGGGTTGGGACCCCTTTTGACGGGTCAATGGAATCTTTATGCCCAAAACCCCGATTCGAGTAATCATTTATTTGGTACCGCTCAAGGAGCAGGAACTGCCATTCTAACTCTTCTTGGGGGATTCCAGCCACAAACACAAAGTTTGTGGCTGACCGATATGGCTCACCATCATTTAGCTATTGCATTTATTTTTCTCACTGCCGGTCACATGTATCAAACTAACTTCGGAATTGGGCACAATATTAAAGATCTTTTAGAAGCGCATACTCCTCCGGGGGGTCGATTAGGGCGTGGGCATAAGGGCCTTCATGACACAATCAACAATTGGATTCATTTTCAGTTAGGTCTTGCTCTAGCTTCTTTAGGGGTTATTACTTCCTTAGTAGCTCAACATATGTACTCTTTACCTCCTTATGAATTCATAGCACAAGACTTTACTACTCAAGCTGCTTTATATACTCATCACCAATATATTGCAGGGTTCATCATGACAGGGGCTTTTGCTCATGGAGCTATTTTTTTCATTAGGGATTACAATCCGGAATAGAATGAGGATAATGTATTGGCAAGAATGTTAGACCATAAAGAAGTTATCATATCTCTTTTAAGTTGGGCTAGCTCTTTCTAGGATACCATACCTAGGGCCTTTATGTTCATAACGACGTCATGCTTGCTTTTGGTACTCTAGAAAAGCAAATCTTGGTCGAACCTATATTGGCCCAATGGATACAATCTTCTCATGGCAAGATGACATATGGGTTCGATATAATCTTATCTACAACGAATGGTCCCGCTTTCAATGCGGGTCGAAGCCTATGGTTGCCAGGATGGTTGAATGTTGTTAATGAGAATAGTAATTCACTTTTCTTAACAATAGGACCTGGGGATTTCTTGGTTCATCATGCTATTGCTCTAGGTTTGCATACAACTACATTGATTTTAGTAAAGGGCGATTTAGATGAACACGATTCCAAATTAATGTTGGGTAAAAAGGATTTTGGGTATAGTTTTCCTTGTGACGGCCCACGACATGGCGGTACTTGTGATATTTTTGCTTGGGACGCATTTTATTTTGCACTTTTTTGGATGTTAAATACCATTGGGTGGGTTACTTTTATTGGCATTGGAACCATATCACATTATTGCAGGGCAATGTTTCACAACTTAAGGAATCCTCAACTTATTGGATGGGATGGTTAATAACTTACCTATGGTTAAACTCTTCACAACTTATCAATGGATATAATCCTTTTGGTATGAATAGTTTATCAGTATGGGCGTGGATGTTCTTATTTGGACATCTTGTTTGGGCTACTGGATTTATGTTCTTAATTTCCTGGCGGGGGTAGTGGCAGGAATTAACTGTAGCATGGGCTCATGAATGCACACTATCGGCATTCTAGGAATGGGGTCCCCAGACTTGCCTGCTTGCGGCCTACGGCGTGGCTCAAGGGATGGACCAATACGGCCCGTCTTCATCAACCCAAGATCAAGACCCTCGCGAGGGGCCAAGCCTCGCGGGCGGATGATGCAAGGCTTCCTCAGGGGCGGCCTCACCAGGCAGGCTCGCGAGGAGGCGGAGAGATCAAGGCAAGGAGTACCTCGCGAGGTGCTCGTGACACAAGCCATGACGATCGTGCCAGGCGGGCGCCAGCCTGTGCAGTGTCCTCGTTTCCTCTTTGGAGCAAAGGGGGCGAGCACAGGCGCGGAGTACCGAGGCATCAAGCAAAGGTTACCATATCAGTGCAACGAGACCAGGACCAGCAGGACAGTAGGACGGAGGTCACCGTGGAGCCCAAGATGGCATCATCGCCAGCGCCTTTGGCAGTCGAAGACCAACTTTAGTCAGGATAACTTGTACTAGCTGTCCCCCTTCAAAATGGTCGTTGTTGGCTCCCTTCCCGCTCAATATTTGGGTAGAGGACCAGGGCCTCTATATATAGAAATAGCCACCACAGTAGAAGGGGGAGAGTTCTCACCTAGAGCCAACGGAGACGGAGCCATTCCCCTCCAAGCACACCACCACAAGAACACCCCTCGCGAGGCTGTTCTTCCTCTGTATTGTTCATCATCAGCCCAGAGGCCATCCACCACAACACACTAGAGTAGGGTATTACACCACAACGGTGGCCCAAACTAGTATGAACATCGTGTCCTTTGTGTTGTTCATCGTGTAGCTTAGATTCGCGGCGAGGCTTTGGGATGTGGATCGGTAGGGAGAAGATCTTCGTGCGCACCCCAGAGTTCGAACCTTAAGGGTTTTGCCGGAACCCAATATCCAACATTTGGCGCGACAGGTAGGGGTGCACCGGAGCTTTCCCTTCTGTCGATCTGCTCTCCATCAGCATCGCGCTTCGCCCTCACGGCAGACAACGCGCTGCCCGCTACGGCGGCCGACACCAGCACTGGGGCCAGGGGCTCCGAGCCTTGGCCCCCGCCTTGCGACTGGTGCAGTGGCCGCACAAGTTCAAGCTAGAGATGCCGCCGCTCTACAATAGCACGACGGATCCACTGGTTTTCCTGCTAGCGTATGAGGAGGCCATCCTCAAAGCCGGGGGCGACGACAAGGTCTTGCCCAACTGGCTCCCATGGCCCTCACCGGCATCCCGTGCATGTGGCTGCTCCACCTACCAACGGTTTCTGTGGCCTCCTGGTAGGAGCTGTGCGACCTCTTCCTCGTCCATTACGCTGCACCGGCGCCCCCGGTCATCGCAGCTCTCCTGGGCGGCTCGCAGGCGCCTCCCTCGGGCCGCCATGTCAAGCCGTTCGTCCACCAGATCGGCGCCGCCCTCTCGCGGCACGGAGCTTCCTCGGGCCGGGCGGCACCCGAGGCTGACCTGACCTTCAGCTCTGACGATCACCCCGTCAACACTGCCTGCTCGGGTGCGCTCATGATGCTTTGCACGCCCACCATCTGCCAGGTAGCCGTCACTAGGACCCTCATCGACGGAGGTGCCGGCATCAACGTTCTCTCAGTGGAGGCCTTCAGCCTCCTCCATGTGCCGCTGGAACGGCTCCGACCCAGCAAGCCCTTCTCAGGCATCGGGGGTGGTTCGTCCGGCTCCCTGGGATAAATCCGCCTTCCGGTGACCTTCGGCACCCATGACAACTTCCGCATGGAGCTGGTCAACTTCGATATCGCTCACATCGGCCTCCCGTACAACGCCATCCTTCGCTACCCCGTCTTGGCCCAATTCATGGCAGCTACCGATCGGGCCTACAACCTCATGAAGATGCCCGGGAGCAGCGGCGTCCTCACCGTGGCTGGAGATACCAGAGATGCTCTGCAGGCGCTCAAGCTCACTCTCAAGACGGTTGCAGTAGCGCAGCCCGCCTGCATTGTCACCCCCCAGGCCAAGGGGGCTACGCCAACCAAGAAAAAGCAGTTGTTCACCCAAGACAAGGCAGAAACCAAGCAGGTACCAGTTGATGAGGATGGGTCCTCCGGCCCCACCTTCACCATAGGTGCCAATCTCGACCCAGAGGAGTTGGCACTGGTGAAGTTCCTGCGCGCGAACAAGGAAGTGTTCGCGTGGGAACCCAAGCAGCTATCGGGGGTCCCAACACAGGTGACTGAGCATCACCTGAATGTGTGCCCTAATGTACACCCCGTGAAGCAGAAAGCGAGGCGGCAGTCCATCGAGGAGCAGGCCTTCATCATCCAAGAAACCCGCAAGCTAGAAGCTGCAGGTGTCATTCGCGAGGCTCGCTACCCCGAATGGCTGGCATATCCCGTGGTTGTGCCAAAGAAGGGAGGAAAGGAGCGCATGTGCGTCGACTTCACCAACCTCAATAAGGCCTGCCCTCAAGATCCATTCCCACTCCCTCGCATCGACCAAATTGTCGACTCCACCGCTGAGTGCGACCTGCTATGCTTCCTGGATGCCTCTTCGGGCTTTCACCAAATCAAGATGGCGGTAGAAGACGTGGAGAAGACGGCCTTCCTGACCCCGTGCGGGGTGTACTGCTACACCTGCATGCCGTTCGGGTTGGGCAACACGGGCGCAACCTTTCAGCGACTGATGCATATCGCCTTGGGCCGGCAGCTCGGGAGAAACGCCAAGGCCTACGTTGATGACATTGTGGTGAAGTCTCGGGAGGCGAAGACCCTGATACAGGACCTGGAAGAAACCTTCGCGAGCCTTCGTGAAGTGGACCTGCGGCTCAACCTGGAGAAGTGCGTGTTTGGTGTTCCCTCTGGCAAGCTTCTGGGCTTCCTCGTGTCCCACAGGGGGATCGAGGCCAACCCAGAGAATGTCAAGGCAATCGAAGACATGAGTCCACCGCAAACCCTCAGGGAAATGCAGAAGCTCGCCGGACGCATAACTGCGTTAGGGTGCTTCATCTCCAAGCTAGGGGAACGTGCCCTGCCCTTCTTCAAGCTGATGAAGAAGAAGGGCCCGTTCGAATGGACACCGGAGGCCGACGAAGCGTTTCAAGATCTCAAGAAGTACCCGACCAGCCCTCTGGTGATGGTGACACCGCGCCCTCAGGAGCCCCTGGTCGCCGGCACACCCTACTCCGCCAGCGCAGCTCTGGTGGCAGTTCGGGAAGAGCGTCAGGCCAAGGCCGCATCGCGGCCGAATGCGGGCCCAACCGCAGCAACACCAGACCAAGAAAGCCTCGCGAAGACCACGAACTTGGCAGATAGAGACCCGCCTCAACAGGAAGACACCCCCGGGGCTAAAGGGGCCTCACCAGGCAGCCAGGGGCTGGGGGCTTCGATGTCTCAGGAAGCGCTCAACTCTCGGGAGGGCGCGGGCTCCGTCGGCGCGCCCACCCTTGTCGAGCATCCTGTGTATTTTGTCAGCACGGTGTTGCGGGATGCAAGGGCACGATAACCCATGCCTCAGAAGCTCTTGCTTGCACTATTGGTGGCCTCACGCAAGTTGCGAAATTACTTTCAAGGTCACGCCATCAAGGTTGTCTCGGCCTACCCATTGGAAAGGGTGCTCCGGAGCCCCAATTCCGCTAGAAGGGTCGCCGAGTGGAACATTGAGCTGCAAGCGTTCCAGTTGGAATTCAGCGCGACCAGAGTCGTCAAGGGGGCCGCACTCGTAGATTTTGTGGCAGAATGGACAGAAGCGCCAGGGCTTGAAGCAGGAGAAGACCGGTCACTCTCCCCAGGAAGCGAGGCACCGGACGGCTGGGTCATGTACTTCGATGGGGCATTCTCACGACATGGTGCGGGGGCCGGCGCGGTGCTTATATCCCCCACCCAGGACAAGCTCTATTACGCTGTACAACTTTGTTTCCAGCACGGCGAGAAGGTCTCCAACAAAATAGCCGAATACGAAGGCCTCATAGCGGGCTTAAAGGCTACATCAGCACTGGTGGTGAAGCACCACGTCATCAAGGGCGACTCACAGCTCCTCGTCAACTTCTCCAACAAAGTGTACGAGCCTAAGGACGAGCACATGGAGGCGTATCTTGTAGAGGTACGCAAGATGGAAAAGAAGTTTTGGGGGCTGGAGCTGCAGCATGTGCCCCGCGGCACCAACCAAGAGGTTGATGACATCACCAGGAGAGCGTCCAGACGGCTGCCTCAGGAGCCTGGCGTTTTCGAGGAACGACTCTTCAAGCTCTCAGCAGCACCGTCACTATCGAGCACAGCACAACCTTGGGAAGAACTCCCACAACCACCTGCCTCGGGAGCCCTGACCTGTGGCCTGACCTCGGGAGCACGCTTGCTCCTAGTGCTAGAGCCTCAGGAGGAATGCTGGACTGCGGAGTTCAAGGATTACCTGATGCAAGGGACTTTACCAAAGAAAGAAGAGGACGCGGAACACGTGGTCTGGCAGTCCACGGCCTACCGCATCCAAGACGAAGAGCTCTATCGGAAGCGGCCAAACGATTTTTCTCTGCGTTGCATCTCCAAGGAACAGGGGAAGGAGTTGCTAGCAGACATTCACGGTGGAGATTGTGGGCACCACTCGTCATCACGAACCCTCGTGGGCAAGGCGTTCCGTAGCGGGTTTTACTAGCCTACAGCACTCAACGACGCAATTGAGCTGGTGATGGCTTGCGAAGCCTGTCAATTCCACGCCAAACAGATCCATCAACCAGCTCAGGGCCTCCAGACCATCCCACTCTCATGGCCATTTGCGGTCTAGGGGCTGGATATCTTGGGCCCGTTCCCTCGGGCGCCTGAGGGCTACCGCTACCTCTACGTCGCCGTCGACAAGTTCACCAAATGAGCAGAGGTGGAGGCCGTCCGCACCATCCCGGCTGGTTCTGCAGTCAAATTCATCAAGGGCCTCGTGAGCTGATTCGGGGTCCCTAATCGCATCATCACCGACAACGGTTCGCAGTTCACCAGCAATCTCTTCAAAACATATTATGCTACTCTTGGAACGCAGATATGCTACGCTTCGGTGGCACATCCCCGGAGTAATGGCCAGGCCGAACGCACCAACGCAGAGGTCCTAAAGGGCCTCAAAACCAGGACCTTCAAGAAGAAGCTGGAGGCCTGCGGCAGGGGCTGGTACGATGAGCTCCAGTCCGTGCTGTGGTCCATCCGCACTACCGCCACCAAGTCGACTTGCGAGACCCCGTTCTTCCTCGTCTACGGAGCAGAGGTGGTCCTCCCTCACGAGGTCAGGCATCACTCCACGCGGGTCCTATCGTTTGATGAAGCACAGCAGGACGCCATGCGGGGAATGGACCTCGTGCTAGGGGAGGAACACTGATGGGAGGCCGCGCTACGAGCAGCAAGATACCAGCAAGCACTGCGGCGGTATCATTGCCGCCACATCCGCCCCAGGACTCTCGAGGTAGGTGACCTTGTTCTTAGGCGGATGCTCTCCAGGGAAGGGCTGCACAAGCTCTCGCCCATGTGGGAGGGCCCGTTCGAGGTTGTTCATGTTTCCAGACCTAGCGCCGCACGCTTGGAGATCCAGGAAGGGGTGCCCATTCTGAACGCGTGGAACATTCAACACCTCCAGAGGTTCTACCCTTGAAGTAAGGCCCAGTGCCTATAAAGAAGGCCTGGTGCCTGTGAAGAAGGGCCTAGTGCCTATAAAAAAGGCCCAGTGCCTGTGAAGCTCGCCGCCCCAAGAAAGGCCCGGTGGCTATGAAGAAGGCCCAGTGCCTGTGAAGCTCGCCGCCCGTGACACTCTCACGTAATAATGAGTTGGGGTTGTACATGCCCCGGAGTCTCCGGAGTGCCGCCCTTGGGCCTTGGGGGCTCCCGCCCATGCCCAGTGGCAGCACTTAGCTCCGCGCTGGTGAGAAGACGTCGAAGACTAGACTAGGTGCCGGACGTGGCTTTTCATTTGCTTTCCGCAGTTGGCATGTTCTTCCTTGTTTGAAACTTTATTGGAGTTGCTTCTAGTGTTGTTTCCCATCCCCTGCCTTTGATTCTCTGTCTTTGGTTTTCACCCGGCTCGTTCTCTCTCTCGCAAGACTCGCGAGGGGGCTATGCGGGTGCCCTTGTGAGCCCTTTCTCGCCTGATTTCGTGAGGCTCCCTCACTCAAGTTCACAGCGGGAGCACCCCTCCCGGTCCATGCCCCACAGGCATCGCGATGCAAAACGCCAGACCTAAGCTGGTCACCCACGCGATCAAGGTTCGAAAGCTATTCCCCCGACTAATCTTTGCAGACCTTAAGACGCCCAGCGAGGCCTCAGGCAGGTACCTCGCGAGGCAGAAACTGCAGTGAACCTCCCGAGCTAAGTTGTTCCTACACGCAAGAACATAGCCGCAACACCATAACATAGCACAGGAATGATAGAAATATCATGATAATTAAGGGTAATAGTCTTGCATGCCCCCACGGGGCTCCATACTACTCTCTCTCTCTCTCAATGCAGGAAAAGGAGAAAAACAAAATAGAAACAGCGTGCGCCCTGCGACGGCTCGCGACGAAGGATCTGCACCGCCCTCCCGAGCTCAATCAGACTCCGCCTCGTGCTTCACCGGGGTGCGGCCACAGGACGACCCGCTACCACCCTCAAAGCGGGCACGGCAACATGGTGGCTGATCGCGGCCACCACTGGAGGAGCTGTCACCGAACGAGGATCCACTGAGGCTCGGCGAGCTGCAGACACCGCTAGGAGCAGGTTCGCCTTCGCCCTCGTCACGGCCGTGGCCAAGGCCAAGCACCTCGTCGTCGTCGTCGTCTTCGGGGCAGCACCCAGCACGGCGGCCGTCTTCCCCGAACACCCTCATGTACAGGGTCGTGTCGCCGTCAAACTTGAAGTGCAGGGTGCATCACCGGCCTAGGACACGCGCGCGGGCAAACGTCTGCCAGCCGCAGGCCAGGGCCACGTTCCCGGCGACGGAGATCTCCACCGTGACCCAGGAAACCGTGCTGCAGCAACCATCCGCCTGCAGCAAGAGCCCACCAGGGCCATCGGCCGGCAGTTCGCCGGCAAAGAAGTGGGAGAGCTGGAGCCAGTTGCCGGCCGGATCTACCGACCACATGACAAACTCCGGTAGCGCCTCTGCCGAGTGAAAGCGTGGCCAGGGAGGCCGTACAGCCACGACGCGTCTTCCCCCACCCACCAGGCGGCCATCACCGCGCGAAGGACCACCGCCGCCACCACGAGGAGCTGTTGCAGGAGTCGCAGGGTGCTTGCGGGGACGACCTCGGTCGCGCTTGGGCGGAGGGGAGCTAGGCCCTTCCTAGCGAGCTTTCCCCTTCTCTGCAGCCGAAAACCTCTTCGTGGGTGCCATGGGACACGCAAGCAACTAGAGCAAGGAGGAAGAAGAAGCAAGCGGGGGAAGGGAGATGTGCAGCGGGGGGCTTGCGCCCTTCCACATTTATAGCCCAAGGGAAGCCAATCGTCGGCCTTCGCAATCGCATGTAATCATGAATCTTCTTGCATGCAGCAGGGACTCGTCAAATACTGCAGTTGCCGAGGCAGCGTGGCGAAGCGGAGATGCCCACGTCCAATCAACCGCGATGCGGCGACCAAGGCCGCAGGCTGTTGGGGCCCATGGTGCTCCGCACTTGCCCTTTCGCTTCGCTGCTAAACCAAGTCCGAGTGCACCTTGGGCCCGGGGGCTACTGTCGGCGTTCTGGGAACGGGGGTCCCCAGACTTGCCTGCCTACGGCCTGCGGCGTGGCTCAAGGGGTGGCCCAATACGGCCCGTCTTCATCAGCCCAAGTTCAAGACCCTCGCGAGGGGCCTAGCCTCGCGGGGCGGACGACACAAGGCTTCCTCAGGGGCGGCCTCACCAAGCAGGCTCGCGAGGAGGAGGAGAGATCAAGGCAAGGAGTACCTTGCGAGGTGCTCGTGACGCAAGCCATGGCGATCGAGACCAGGCGGGCACCAGGCGGGCGCCAGCCTGTGGAGTGTCCTCGTTTCCTCTTTGGTGCAAAGGGGGCGAGCATAGGCGCGGAGTACCAAGGCATCAAACAAAGGTTACCATATCGGTGCAACGAGACCAAGACCAGCAGGACGGCAGAATGGAGGTCACCGTGGAGCCCAAGACGGCATTATCGCCAGCGCCTTTGGCAGTCGAAGACCATCTTTAGTCAGGATAACTTGTACTAGTTGCCCCCCTTCAAAATGGCCGTTGTTGGCTCCCTTCCCGCTCAATATTTGGGAAGAGGTACAGGGCCTCTATATACAGAGATAGACACCACAATAGAAGGGGGATAGTTCTCACCTAGAGCCAATGGAGACGGAGCCATTCCCCTCCAAGCAAACCACCACAAGAACACCCCTAGCAAAGCTGTTCTTCCTCTATACTGTTCATCATCAGCCCAGAGGCAATCCACCACGACACACTAGAGTAGGGTATTACACCACAATGGTGGCCCGAACTAGTATAAACCTCACGTCCTTTGTATTGTTCATCGTGTAGCTTAGATTCGCGACGAGGCTTTGGGATGTGGATCGGTAGGGAGAAGATCTTCGTGCGCACCCCAGAGTTTGAACCTTAAGGATTTTGCCGAAAGCCGATATCCGACACACACCTTTAGCTAATTTAATTTTCTAGAGAGATAAACTCGTGGCTCTTTCCATTGTGCAAGCAAGATTGGTTGGATTCGCTCACTTTTCCGTGGATTATATATTCACTTATGCAGCTTTCTTGATTGCCTCAACATCAGGCAAGTTAGGTTAATTTAGTTTGTTTTCTTGTATGGTATCAGCACCTAGTTCATCACTCTTGATAGAGAGGGAGGATCTGCCTTTTTAGATTTCTTTTTCTATTTATTTTTCCATTTAGGATTAGAACTGTATATTTGGTAATAATAGCAATGCCACATTATGGCAAAAAAGTTTGATTCAGAGGGAGAAGAAGCGGCAGAAATTAGAACAAAAATATCATTTGATTCGTTAATCTTCTTTAAGAAAAGGTAAGAAGCAAAGTTTCTCCCTTAAGTTTGACTGAAAAAATGAAATGCGAGAAAAATTGCAATCCCTACCGCATAATAGTGCACCTACACGCCTTCATCGACATTGTTTTTTGACCGGAAGACCTAGAGCTAACTATCGACATTTTGGGCTATCCGGACATGTACTTCAAGAAATGGTTTATGAATGTTTGTTACCGGGTGCAACAAGATCCAGTTGGTAAGGATAAAATACCCTTTCGTATTTGTATGGATTTCTAGAACTGATAATCATAGATGAGTCCTCTTTACCATTATGTATAAATGGACTATTCTATTTGTATAGATATTGGTAGAGGGGCGTACCGAACCCTCTTTTATCCACTAGTTACCCCTCTTTAGTTTAAGAGTATAGAGCAGTTTGGTAGCTCATAAGGCTCATAACCTGGATTTGTACATCATGCATTTGTACCTGGATTTTTTGATTCCCTAAAAGAGTTTTGGTCTAACAGTTTTTTCTCGGATGAAGACAAAAAATATGAGCTCTACAACATGCATGGCACATGAAATTAGATTCTAGGATTTTGTAATATGAGCACAGGGATGGTTGGGAAATGCAGGTACTCCTCCAGCACACCACCACATGTGGTCCTATCAAAATAATAGTTGACTGAAAATAAATAGGTCAGTCAATTTTTTTTCTGAATCGTCTGATCTACAAGGAATAGGCAGAT